CGCCTGGCGCATTACAACAAGCGCTCGACCATCACGTCCCGGGAGATCCAGACGGCCGTGCGCCTGCTGCTGCCCGGGGAGCTGGCCAAGCACGCCGTGTCCGAGGGCACCAAGGCCGTCACCAAGTACACCAGCTCCAAGTGAGCCCCTTCCCGGGACGCGGCGCTCCTACCAGCGGCCGCTCGCTCGACCCCCCAAAGGCTCTTTTCAGAGCCACCCACCTTTCTCAGTTGAAAGGGGCTGCCCGCTCGCTCGTTCCCGTTTCCCCCTTGAACGTCTTGTCTACCTTGTGTGAATAATGTGCTCTAGGTTCTGTCATGAGTATTTCTGCACATTACTTTTACAATGAGGGGGAGCGAATAAAACCTCGCACTCTGAAAGAAAACACGTTGGGTATATAGCAGTAAACAATAGAAGTTCCTATCCACATAAAGCTACGTTCTAGTAGACGGATGCTGAAAATAAGCAAATGAAAGACATGTAGCTACAATATTAACGGGTTGATCAGTTATGACATAAAAGTAGAATAGAGTGGTGTGTGGATGACAAGACTGATCAGTTAACATTTGAACAAAGGCCTGAACAGAGTAAGATAGCCATGGGATAGCTTGGAGAAGGGCAAAGTATTAAGCCAGCAAGTGTGAAGACAACAGTTTTGGGGGGAGTTCAAGAAATAAGTCCACGGGCTAAAGCGCAGTGAGGAAAGGGAAGACTTGCAGGGAGATGACATCACAGAGGTAGTTGAGGTTCAGATCACGTAGTTTATTGAAGGACCTCACAGGCTATAGCAAAGATTTTTATTAATAAATTAAGTGCCTTTGGAGTTTGATTGGAGTAATGACATTATTTGACTTATGTTTTTTAAATCTCACCCAAGGTGATATGTTGAAAATAGACTGTAGGAGCGCAAGAGTAGAGGCCCAGAAATCAGTAAGGCTATAGTAATATGTTCAGGAGACAGAGGTAGTAGCAGTGGAGATGAGAAGATGTATTTTGAAATTAATTGAATGTATAATGTGACTGAAAGAGGTATTAAGGACTAATTGTGATGTGGGATCTCTGATATTTTTTATTCTGTGTGCCGGGATCATGGCCTTGCAGAACCAAAGAATGGAGGAACGGAGCAGAGAGGTAAGGTTTGCAGCAAATGACAGTTTATTAAATCATAAAGTCACAGCTCTCAAAATGAGAGGGGGTACCCAAAACTGGGATGCCCACTAGCTAAAGCAAAAAGCTTTTGCTTTTATATTTTTTCTTGTATGCCTGGGCAGAAGAGCTGGCCGGTCTTTTGGTACTATTATCAGATTTGTTCAGCCTGGAAGGGGGGCTTTTCCAATAGCCCAATTGTCCTAGAACATAATTTGGCTGGGATGCATTACTTTAGGAGTAGCTCAGCTGTCAGAATTGATGTTTCTGCTCTGGCCGGGGTGTGTTATCATAAGGCCTAAGCTTTGAAGATATGCATTTTACCTGGGCATTCCAGACTGCCATATGTTATGCTAACTAACCTGTCTTAATCCCTCCCCCTTCTGGAGACCAAACCCTAACTTCTGACTTCTTTGTTATAGGCTTGAAAAAAACCCCTCCTCCCCCGCTTGAGTTTCTCACTCTGGTGGGTGCTATGACTGAAACCTATCTGTCAGCTACTAAAATAATTTCCTCTGGCTCTGTTATGGTTTCCGCCCTAATTACCTCTACCGTGGCAATCTCCCTGACTGCCTATAATTTCTCTATCTCAATTGTAAGACTGGACTTGTAAATGGGTGCAATTTGCTTATCTGAGTGACAAGTAGGTTTAGAGGGGGAAAACCAAGAGTACTGTCTTGGACACAATTTTGAGACTCCTGGTAGCTATCCAAGTAGAAATATCAAACAGGAAATATCAAATTCCCAAGTGGGAATATGAAATATGAGAATCTGGAGTTCAGGAAAGACAAAGAGGTAAGATTGATCAAGTCTGATTCTTGCTCTTTTGTAAGTGATCTGCCCTTCTGGAAACATTTGGACTCACTACAACATGACTAAATATGTTCCTCCCCTCTCCCACACCCAGGAATAATTTAGCTTTAGTTTCAGTATTTGACTAAAGTCCCCCTATCCAACTTCAGTTTTAACCTCAGATTATCAGAAGGCAGAATAACCACAAGTCTAATTCAATGTTATTTGGGCATCCCTGGACCCGTTCAATCACCTAAGTCACCATTACCTCCAATGACTATAGCCAAGTATCATGAACAAAGGATAGCACTCAGAGTTTCAGTTAATATAAGAATGATCACTGTCAAACATAGGTAAGCTTTTTAAATATAAAGGAGTGAAAAATCATGGTCATATGCTGAAATTTCACCAATTAACCGTGTTTTTGAAAAAATAAAAAGGAACAATATTCAATGTCTATGAAAGCTGTTTCTGTACCAGTTTTTAAAGACCAATCACTTTTTAAAAACTTTAAGTTTTTTGTTTTGAAAATGCAAACCTACAGAAAAACTGAAAAAAAAAGTACAATGAACAAATATATCTTTATCTAGATTCACCAATTGCTATTATTTGCTTCAGTTGCTTTACCTTTTGTGTATACACATACATTTTCTGAACAATTTGAAAAGTTGCAAACATCTTGCCACTTCTCCCTAAATACTTTATTTTTATTCAGCATGTCTCTCTTAAAAATAAGGGCATTCTCCTATACAACTACAATACTATTTACTATACCTAAAAAAATTATTGATTCAATATTACTATGCAATTTATGTTCAAATTTCTCCAACTGTAAAAAAATCCTATAGAGCTGCTGTATTAGTTTCCCATGGCTGTTGTAACAAACTGCTATGAATTTGGTGGTTTCAAACACACATTTTATTTACTTTACAGTTCTGGAGATCAGAAGTACAAAATCAGTTTCACCAAGTGGAAAACAAAATTCTGCTCTCTCCTAACTAACGCTCTAGGGGAAAATCCATTCCTATGCATTTTCCAGCTTCTAGAGGGGCATTTCTTGGCTCATGGCTTCTTCCTCCATTTTCAAAACCAACATCGTACCATTTTTATGTCTCTGCTTTCATCACCTTCTTTCTGCATTGATCCTTCTGAATCTCTTATAAGGACCCTGGTGCTTGCATTGGGCCCACCCAAATAATCCAGGGTAATCTCTCTATCTCACATACCACATCAGTAAAGTCCCCTTTGTCATTTAAAGTACACAGACACTAGGGATTTAGATGTGAATGTATCTGGGGCCATATTCAGCCTACCACAGCTGTTGTCTACTGTTACGGGTTGAGCTGTATCCCCAACAAGATATGTTGAAGTCTAACACCCCAGTGCCTAAGAATGCGGCTTTATTTGGAAATAGGGTCTTTGCAGAAGTAATCAAATTAAAATGAAGCCATTAGGGTGAGCCCTAATCCAATATGAATGGTCTTTTTCATAAAATGTACAAACACACAGGAAGAAAACTGAGAAGTAGGAGTTATGCTGTCATAACCGAAAAAAGCCTGGGGGTACCAGAAGCTGAACGACAAGGAAGGATCCTGTCCTAGAGCCTTTGGATGGACAGGGCCCTGCCAGCACCTTGATTTCAGACTTGTAGCCTCCAGAACTGTGGCAGAACACATTTATTTTGAGCCACTCCGTTTGCAATGCTTTATAATGGCAACCATAAAAAACTAATACAAAATTTTTAATGGAATTAGTTTAAAATTCTTAAGATTCTGCATTTTTTAATTTCTGGCGCTGGTCAAATATTAACACTTGGATATTGAGTCCAAATGTGTAGTTGGAGCAAGATCCAAAGTAGTTTACATAAAAGTGTGTCAGACAAATTAGCTTAACTGGGTTTTCAAAGGTTCAGCAGGGCTCAGAGGTTGGCTGAACTCCAAGAGCGTTTCACTTCACTCATGCACTCCATCAGCTGTGCCCTCCTGAGTGTCTATAAACAAACATTTTTGTCTTCATATCCACAGAACACCCCATCCTGCTGCTCCCTCTTAAAAGTAAAGAAACTTTTTAAAAAAAAAAGATTAAGCACAATCCAAATTTCCCTACTCAGTTCCATTTTTGAAATGTTTGTGCTAAGCAGGTTGGTCTAGATTCCTGAACTGATTAATGTTAAGATCTGGGGAACACATATTGACAGTGGTTCTCAAACTTCACAGCCCCTTAGTCACCTGGGGAGCTTTTTAAAAATATCCCAGGTATATAGGCTGGCTCATGGTCTCTGCCTCCAGTGCCCAAAACCACTTAATTAGGAATTTCTGGGGGTGGCACCCAAGCAGGCAACAGTATTTTTTAAAGTCCCCTGGTAAGACTACATTGAACACACTTGAGAACTACCCTACATTAAGGAATTAAGTGGATTCCTTAATGAAACCCAGGTTACAATTACAGAAACAGGACTATCTACCCAATTGACTCATGCAAAAACCCTACAGGTTTCACTTACCCAAATCCTAGTCCGCAGCAAGATCTGTCAATTCTACATCCGCAATATAATGCCGATTTCTTACCATCTCCATTGTTATCCCTATTGCAATGCAACATGTCTAAACTACACAGTGGTCCTCACACCTTAGCATGCATCAGAATTACCCAGATTACAGGGGTCTGAAATTTTAATTTTAAATTCTCAGGTAATGTTGATGCTGCTAGTCTGCAGAGACGAGACTTGAAGAATCATACACATCTACAGATTACAGACGATACTCGTTCAGCTCATTGCAGGGCAGCTTGTGAGAAATGTAAAGGATCACAATTGCACATCCTTTAGTTGAATTAACTCTCACTTCAGGACCAGATGTCACCCTAAACTTGTTAAAATGGTATTTCCTAATCTTAAAAGTGATAAATTATCTCTAACACGAAAGGTGTTGAGACACATTTCCGTTAAACTACAGCCTGGCTTTAAAAAAAAAAAAAATCTGCAAGACTGCACCAGATTCCTAATTGGTTTCCTTGCTTCTCCTGTGGGCAAGCGATTAGCTATGCGCTAACCAATCACTGATGTTTTTTCCATGAAATCGCTCTTCACATGACTACCTAAAAAAACCCAAAGCGTTGAGACCAAAATTTCTACTCAACCAATGTCCTTAGCTTAAACCCAAACAGTGTAGCTTCCCTGCCCGTGGAGCACGATCACCTCCGCAGTCCCGAATACTGTGCGTGACTTTGAAACTGGACAAGCTTCCCCGAGTGACATGTCTCGGGGGAAAACACCGCCACCACATGAGTAAGGCTGGCTTTGTAGCAGTTGAAATGTAGGAATCGGCAAAAAAGCACCAGCACTAAAGGCTGGTTTTCAGGTTTCAAAATGAACTTCGAGTTCCCGAATCCAGTAACACAAGCAAACGTGGGGTAGGCAGGTACTTGCGGACGGGGCTACACGAGCCGCCATCCCCAAGGTAGACAAGACGTTCAAGGGGGAAACGGGAACGAGCGAGCGGGCAGCCCCTTTCAACTGAGAAAGGTGGGTGGCTCTGAAAAGAGCCTTTGGGGGGTCGAGCGAGCGGCCGCTGGTAGGAGCGCCGCGTCCCGGGAAGGGGCTCACTTGGAGCTGGTGTACTTGGTGACGGCCTTGGTGCCCTCGGACACGGCGTGCTTGGCCAGCTCCCCGGGCAGCAGCAGGCGCACGGCCGTCTGGATCTCCCGGGACGTGATGGTCGAGCGCTTGTTGTAATGCGCCAGGCGGGACGCCTCCCCGGCGATGCGCTCGAAGATGTCGTTGACGAAGGAGTTCATGATACCCATGGCCTTGGACGAGATGCCGGTGTCGGGGTGCACCTGCTTCAGCACCTTGTACACGTAGATTGAGTAGCTCTCCTTGCGGCTGCGCTTGCGCTTCTTGCCATCCTTCTTCTGGGCTTTGGTGACCGCCTTCTTCGAGCCCTTCTTGGGCGCTGGGGCAGATTTGGCCGGCTCCGGCATGACGACAAGGACCGTGCAGCGGAGCAGGCAGGGCACACAAACACGTCAAGCAGGACCGAGGCTACCGGAAGCGCCTGGTTACTTATAGAGGCCGTATGCAAATTAAGGCTGTGAGTACGCTGCGTTGCGATTGGCGAGTTTTCAGCGGGGTTCCTGCGGAGGGGGATGAGATCATGCAAATGAGCGGATTCTGCCTGCGCCCTCCTATTGGTGGTCAGGACGAAAATACGCTTCAGCCAATCAAATCTGTCCGTGGACAATCGCGGTTCTGGCTATAAAAGGGTGAAGCGGGGCCGTTGAGAGCGACTTCCTGTGTTGTCAGGGGGGAGCTGCTTGCAGTGCCTAATCGCCGTTATGTCTGGTCGTGGCAAGCAAGGAGGCAAGGCCCGCGCCAAGGCCAAGTCGCGCTCGTCTCGCGCTGGTCTTCAGTTTCCTGTGGGGCGAGTGCACCGTCTGCTGCGCAAGGGCAATTATGCCGAGCGGGTGGGGGCTGGCGCGCCCGTTTACATGGCGGCCGTGCTGGAGTACTTGACTGCTGAGATCCTCGAGTTGGCGGGTAACGCCGCCCGGGACAACAAGAAGACGCGCATCATCCCTCGTCACTTGCAGCTGGCCATCCGCAACGACGAGGAGCTGAACAAGTTGCTGGGCAAAGTCACCATCGCCCAGGGCGGCGTCTTGCCCAACATCCAGGCCGTGCTGCTCCCCAAGAAGACGGAGAGCCACCACAAGGCGAAGGGCAAGTGAGGCTGCCGCCTGGAAGCTACTCCCCAGCCCCTGTCTCGAAGGGG